ATTCACTACTGATGCCCAGAAGAAGAAACAAAATCATGGAAATAAAGCAGACTTTCACATCAAACCAAAGCCAGACAGGTTAAGGGGACACACAGTGTGTGAACAGACATTTACAATAAAAACAAAACACCCATGATGAAAATTCTGAATGACAAGTTTGTTTAAATTAGGTGAAATTTATGTTTGTCTTGACTGACATAAGCCCAATCATAAAAATAAATCCTGGTGGCACACAGTATCAATAATATTTCAAAAAGCTACATAAATAATTAACAGAATTACAATATTTCGTTATAGTTTCCCCTCTGCAATGAAGAATCAAGAGAGGCTAGATAGATAATATATATTTAAAAAGTAACAGATATACATTTACATTGAATCAAGCTGCATAGCAGTTTGAGACAAAACTTCAATTGCACCTACGTTAAACAACAAATGCAATTAATATGTGAAAATAAATCAGATGCACAAACAAATTGCACAACACTATACATTTATCTGGTCACTCATTTCTGTACGGCATTTGAAGCACACAAGTCGTATGGCTTGCAAGTTACTAGTTATCAAGGGCTAATAACCACTGACAATAGTGTCACAGTGGTAAATAAAACAGGCAACAATGGTACAAGATAAATCTGGTCTCTACTATAAAAGTTTGTCAAGGCACAAGTATGTCATCCAATGTACTGAGCAATACTTCTAAAATATATTTGCTGTACACTGTGATCTCATAAATCATTGGTTAGTCTGGGTGCAAATTTGTTAAAAATATAGCTGAACTTTCAAGGTGACCCCTGAATTTCTGTAGTCATTGGTTGGGTAGATAAAGAAGTTCATTTTTAGGTCTTCAATAAATTAAACCTTTACAGGCACAACAACGTATAGTGCCACTCAATTACAAAGACTCATGTCGTCATCAATGTAAAACATGTAGCCTACTTGACAAATAGTCCCCCTCTTTTGTCAAAGCTCATACTACTTGTGATATTCATGGGTTACATTTGAAAACAGGTATTTTGTTCCTCAATATGCTTATGCTTGAAAATAACAATGATCTTATTGTGTATTCATAACACAAAACATGAACATGCTGCTGCCAAAATATTGTATATCTATGTATACTATATGTATAAAGAATGTACTTTATCATTGTAATTGGTCCAATGTTGAGTAAGGTGGCTTGATTAGCAACCTGCTCAGGTTGAGGTAACAAACACATTCGATTTTGGAGTTTTTTGTAAACCCTATTAACAAATATTTAACGGATGCTGTTTTAACGGTCTGTATGGCTTTATAACTGGCATAGTTGTCCAATAACTTCCTGCACTTTCCTTATTCAAGAGGTGAAATAAGTTGTAGATGTGACAGTATAGGTTCAATGTTCCACAAATTATATCACAAGGGTTTGACTTTAAACTATCAGCTTTGTACAATTGATCTCAACCTGGCATATGAACGAAAATCTATCAGAGGAAAACAATGCACAGGAATGTACATGTGACTCAGTGTACATGGTACATTTTAACTCCCTCAACCATAAAGTTGTATCCCTGTCCTCACATCTAAAAGGAGAAGAAAAGCTTCACTGACAGATATGTCACACAAGACCACAGCCAATTACAGTTTCAACAAGTGGGGAAGGGCCAAATCCACATATTAATATAATTACAGAGTTAAATCAGAATTAAACTTGTACGTCAAGTCATTTGTAGCAAAAAGATGATTGTGGGACACAATTTAGACAATATCTAAGACAAAAAATACAAAATAAATTAGATATGATTTCTGAAAAGATGTATTAGAACTACACCAGTAAAAAATATGATAAAATATTTGTAAATCTTATAAATTCACATAAATACTCATGACTATTGGAAACAAAAGTACTAGTTTTTCACAAGAGTTGAAGAAAGCCAATCACAGACAGCTCTTTCTCCAAAGCAACTTAACGGTTCATTCTTCATGAGTAGGGTCCCTTTAAATATCTAAAAGAACACAGCTCAAGCTCTGGGATGGGGAATATGGGGCGTACCATAGGCCCCACCAATCACATTACTCAAAATAGTTTAAATACTCTCCCTTTAAAAAATCTGCTTGTTTTAAAGTGAATAAAAGGTATTGATGTTAAGAACACACACTAACAGACAACAACAATAAGAGAGAAATATGGAGGCACTCAACTAAGCTGTTCTTGTTGTCATCAGAGACCAGCCCCTTGTTCATGCGTATACTCAGATTCAGACTAAAAACAAGACACAATCTTACTGTTGGCTCCACTCCAGCCCAATACTCACATGTAAAGAATAAAAGCACAAACCAGTTTGGCAGCAGTACAGGTGTAGGATATTAATTTGACCAGTTTGCTTCAGCAGAAAAATAATCATGCAGCAAAAGGAAATGTGAATTATTCTGTGGATTATAATTCATGGACATTTTTGTAGGGGTTGATACATTAGGGCAAATCAAGTATGAAATGTCAAAGTCGAAATTTAGAAGCCTTTTAAAAACTCAAATACACATGCCTCCCGAGTGGCGCAGCGGTCTAAGGCACTGCATCGCAGTGCTTAAGGCGTCACTGCAGACCCATGAGGTGGCGCACAATTGGCCCAGCGTTGTCCGGGTTAGGGGAGGGTCCTTGTCCCATCGCGCTCTAGCGACTCCTTGTGGCGGGCCGGGCGCATGCACGCTGATTTCGGTCGCCAGCTGTACGGTGTTTCCTCCGACACATTGGTGCGGCTGACTTCCGGGTTAAGCGAGCAGTGTGTCAAGAAGCAGAGCGGCTTGGCAGGGTTGTGTTTCGGAGGACGCATGGCTCTCGACCTTCGCCTCTTTTGAGTCCGTATGGGAGTTGCAGCGATGGGACAAGACTGTAACTATCAATTGGATATCACGAAATTGGGGGTAAAAAGTACCAAAAAAATAAATATAAGAATCAAATACACTACAAGTTTGCATTTCCTGCTGAAAGTTATCTGCAACAAAAGAGTGATCAAATTAAGATCCTACATCTGTAGATCACGTCTGACACTAATAATCCAACTACAAACAACCATACATGGTCAAGGCAAAACAGAAAACTGCTCCAGTCACTTTCACCACTTTCTCCCTCTCAAAGCATGGCGAGTCTCAAACGACAAATATGAACACACCAATCAATATGAGCCATAAAACTGGCCATTCATGAAGAAAAAGGAGACTGTGACTCGAGGCCTTGACTCAGGTCCTTGGGTGGCCCACTGAGAGTTGGTATTTTACAGTAAGACAAACATACGGAACTATTTAAACTGATTTAATTATCAGGGACAAAATGAACGATGTGCTTTACTCCTGCATGTAGCACCATGGCAACATTAACCGGTTGATGAAATAATAAATGGATGATGCCTTTCTGTAACATGGCAGTATTCTTTAAGCCCACCTCAATGTTGCAGTGGGCAGAAAACTCCTCTCTGATCTATGGATAAATGTCCAGTTCATGCGTGCCAGACGTGAGCTAATACAAACATCTGCCATGGAGACATCACTACAAAACAACACATTATCTACATTTGCCATAGAATGATACAAATAACAATATACTCTTTAATTACGTCAATCAGAGAACCGTGCGCACTGGTATATGGTTATGATTTATTCAAACTGTAGGCCTATTATTTAATTATGTTGACTGGAAATGAATGATTTAAAGGCTGGATGTTTTTTTCTGTTGATCCACATTTACCCTAATCTAGAGCATCTCTCGTAAAATGTACTCCAGAGTCTAATCAGGGAGAGAAATCCATGGTGTAATACTCAAGTACTTGGGAGTTATTCTCAGGAATGGGTAATGGGAAGATGGCTGCCAATAAGATAAACTGATATTTCATGAAAGGAACAATAAAAAAACTAAAGCCACAACTCAACACACATGTATGAGTAATAAAGTAGTCGAGATGTACATCCAGTAAACATGAGAAGAGATAAATAGCTGACTAGTGAATGCATGGGCCAATTTAATGAGTAACTGGTCACAAAGGAAAGCATCATAAAGTGCTGAAAGAATAAATGTCAAAATATCTTACAAAAGGTTTCTTCACGAATTATATATTTTCTTCTGCTATTTCCTAAAATACTTTTAATATCATATAAAAAGGACAACAATGCGTTACAAACAATTGTGAGCCCACACTCTGGTCCAGGAGAATACAGAATGCTGTGCTAGCTTCCACCACCATCTTTATAAAACCACACCGCAAAGTGCTGCTCTGAGAACTGATGAGTTAGCCAAACATTACAAAGTGTCATATGTTTCATTAACAGCTGGATGGGACTAGCTGCGAGATACACTGACCACACTGATAGTTGTGGGGTGACTACAACCTATGTCCTATTTTGAGGTCCAGGTTTAGATGCAGTGGAGGACTGGTGCCCCACTCGGCGCCACTGTGGAGCATCTACACATGAAGACCGTCCTTGGAGAAGAAGGCCGCTGAGGCTTACATGTAACTTGGAGTTCGGACAGGAGCCCACCGTTGAGTTTGTTTCCATTCTTCTGCAGTCTGTAATGGGGGTCCACACTGGGGGTCTTCTGCCGTCTGTAATGGGGGTCCACACTGGGGGTCTTCTGCCGTCTGTAATGTGGGTCCACACTGGGGGTCTTCTGCCGTCTGTAATGGGGGTCCACACTGGGGGTCTTCTGCCGTCTGTAATGGGGGTCCACACTGGGGGTCTTCTGCCGTCTGTAATGGGGGTTCACACTGGGGGTCTTCTGCCGTCTGTAATGGGGGTCCACACTGGGGGTCTTCTGGGCTCCTAAAGGGAGGGGCAATTACATGTTTAAAGGACATAGGAGCATGTAAACAGTAGTCAGTTTTAACTAGAATTCCAACAGGTTAATCCTGCTTTCTGAGATACCCTCAAGATGTTTAAACTGAACAACAAAAGTGCAGCCGTTTTAAACACATTGGCAAACCAAACTTGTTTATATAGAGATGAGCATTCACCTGAAACCTATAGTAGACCTAGTAGGAGCGAGTGAGGTTGTTGCCCTGCTCCTGCAAGCTGACAAGCAGGTCATCTATCTTCTCCATGTTCTGGGAGGCGGTCATGCTGTTCTGCATGCTCCCTGACTCAGACATGGACTGGTTGAGCAGCGACTGGATCTGGGCCTCGCTCTCTCTCTGGTTCTGACCAGACTGACTGATGGCAATGATCTGATCAGAAAGAGTGGTTCCAGGAGAGTTTATCAGCTGGCCACACTCTGTATGGGGAAGAAAGGGGTATTCACTGACTACATGCCACATGAAATGTTAAATGTTAGCATCATACTGTTTTCTGGAGTATACTAAAAAAGCTGACATTTGATAAAAAGGACAGAAATCATAATCATGAATCCTTACCGTTCTGAATCCCAAAGAGGAAGAGGCCTGGCTGCTGGGCCTGGCTGGGCTGGTTGAGGGTCCCACTGACTGCTGTCTGGAACAGAGACCCTGGCTGCTGCACGGGGGAGGAGGTGGTGGTCTGCAGGCCTGCCACCCCATTCTGGGTGCTGAAGATGCCCGTCTGCGGGAGCTCCTGGGCAGCCATGCCACCCTGCAGGGCAGCCATGTTAGATTGGGGCATGAAGAGGGAGACGGGCTGCTCTGGGCCATTGTTGGAGCTGGTGATCAGCTGCATGGGCTGCTGCTCTTGGAACAGGCCCTGCTGGAGAGGCTCAGAGGGGTTCCCCACCACCTGGCTCTGGTCCTGGAAGGCCATGGGCTCAGAGGGCTCCTGCTGGCTAACCGTCACCATGCTGGCCTGAGAGAACAGCATGGAGGGGTTCTGGGGCTCCTGAGAGTTCAGGCTGCTGCTGCTCATGGGGGGCATCTGGCCCTGGCCGCTGAACAGCAGACTGGGGGGCTGCTCCGGAGTGGAGAGGGGGTTGCTGCAGAACAGTAGGCCGGCCTGCTGCTGCTGGGTCTGAGAGAGAGTGTTCGCAGGTGGATGAGGGGAGATGTTCTGAAACATGGAGTTCTGCTGAGGTGGCTGAGGCTGAGGCTGGGAAGGCTGCTGCTGCTCCATGGGGGTCCCCTGCTGGATTGGGGAAAGCTGGGTCTGAGCCTGGAACACTGACTGGGGCTCAGGGGCAGAGGTCTGCAGGGCACTGAGGAATGCCAGCTGCTGCTGCTGCTGCTGGCTGCCGTTAGCGGAGAGCTGCCCGGGCAGGGCACTCTGGGGGAGGAACAGGTTGGCGGCAGAGGGGGGCTGCTCTGGGGAGAGGCTGGTCCTACTCAACACTGTCAGGGTGTTCTGGAAGAGGGCTGCCTGGACCTGCTCCTGGGTGGGAGAGGCCTTCTGAGTGTGGAACAGCGCCCCCTGTGGGTCCTGTGCCTCAGCCAGGGGGCTGGGGTTATGGAAGAGGGGTGGAGAGGGATGAGGAGGGGTCTGCTGGAGGAAGTTGGTCTGAATGGAGAGGAGCTCATTAGCTTGCTGAAAGAGCGCTGCTTGCTGCTGCTGTTTCTGTTGTTGCTGCTGCTGTTGGGCCTGCTGAAATAGGGAACCATGGTTCTGCACCATGCCCTGCTGGGAACCCTGCTGTTCAGTGTTCTCACCTCGAGAACCGCCCTGGAATATGCCACACTGCATGGGCATCTGTGACTGAAACAGCTGCAGGTTCTCCAACACTTGCTGTTGCTGTTGCTGGTGTTGAAGTTGTTGCTGCTGCTGCTGTTGAATTTGTTGCTGTTGAATTTGCTGTTGCTGAATTTGTTGTTGCTGAATTTGTTGTTGTTGAATCTGTTGTTGTTGCTGTAGTTGCTGTTGCTGAATTTGTTGTTGCTGTTGTTGCTGAATTTGTTGCTGCTGTTGTTGAATTTGTTGTTGTTGAATCTGTTGCTGTTGTCGCTGTTGCTGCTGGCTGCAGTACCCTTTGGCCTGCAGTTGTCTCACTGCTTGTTCCAGTTGGGCCACCTCGTCTGGGGGGAATATGGGCAGCTGGTGTTGCTGGGGAGCAGGCTGAGGGGCCTCCAGTAGTTGACCGAGCCTCCCTACCGCCCCAGCGTTGTTGCCGGCCCTGTCCTGCCCCAGCCCCTCTCTGGGCTCCAGGAGGAACTGCTGAGGCCCAGGTTGGAGTAGAGAGTCTGCAGGCACGGGGAAGGAGTTGGTGGGAGCGATGTCCTGCTTCTGTATGGTGCTCAGGGCCTCTGCACTGTTGAAGACTGCTGTTTGGGATTCGTCAGGGTCACTGGCAGGCCGCGGCAAGGAGTTGGAGAACGGGCTGTTGTTGGGAAGGTTGGAACTCATGTCCAGCGTCTGCTGGGCCGAACACATGACATCAGGGGTCCGCTGAGAATACAAAAAACAGATGATACCTGCTAGCTTTTTATATATTTTGGGTGGAAAATATGGTTCATATGGATATGGTTCAACTATTTAATGAGGCATTATCACAGCCAAGGCTAATGAATGCATTTGTAGATATTTTACCTTGAACACGCCAGCAGAAGTGAGGTTGCTGGAAACCTCCATTGGCGTGACCTCTTCTCTCTTCACAAGAGGCAACATTGGGGGCATCAAGGCACCATCAATTACTGTAGGGGCGTGAATGACAATGTTACAATTTTGTCATACTGAAAGCCAAGATACAGGAGTACACTTGACACCCCTCACACACACCTATACATTACAAACAAGAACACACGATACAGCATGTACAGCACGGTAGAGATATACTCTACCTTTCATCCGTTCATCAAAAGAGCAGGGCTTGCCTGGAGATGGGACTTCTTTCTTCACAGATATGTCCCCTGAGACATACACAAATAAGCAGGTTGAGTTATGGACATGCAAATCAGATGACCTTATTCTTCATACCCTGTCTCATTCTCCATCCTCTGCATGTCAGGATTTCATTTACAAAAATATAATATGAAATTAAATGTTACTGTATAGAGGGAAAAACAATGAGGAATAAATCTGTATGACTTGACTGTTTTGTAAAGGGTGCTGCCTAATCCGGTATAATGTTTAGTACATACTGTCTATAAAAGGTTTTTTTTTTAGATGGATCATCTACACTTCCATGTTTTGTTTAATTGTTTTAGTTCCTTTCTCTGACACTTCCTGCTTGCTCATTGACAGTTCGTGCCACAGTGCCCAAAGGACGTTTTTGACGACTGGAAGTGATGAGAGAGAAAAGGAGGAGACAAATCCCCCTCTGTTCCCGAGTGGGCATGGCTTCCTGCACCAAAGACTGGAATGGTACATTTAGAGCAGGCTAGAGGATATATCCACCTAATCCAGTAGTGGTGGTAGAGTAATGGTTGTAATTTAGAGTGGCTGAAGACGTGCTCTGAGGAAATTCTGCTTTAAGGTGGCGCAGGAGGAGTAAGAGGAAGAACGTTTGTTCATTGACTTATCACAGACCTGGTTCTGGAGTGTAGGTAAAAGGCTGCACGTCATGGGATCGGCCAGCATTGGTCACCACGTAAATCCCCACACACACCGCTGACGCGATGGCTGGGTTCTGGTATGGAGGAACCTTCACAATCAAGTGATTCTGAGGGGAAACGCATCACAGACAAATCCACTTAGCTAACAAAAATGTACAGTAGCCCCAAGCTTAAAATGACATACAGTGGGGAAAAAAAGTATTTAGTCAGCCACCAATTGTGCAAGTTCTCCCACTTAAAAAGATGAGAGAGGCCTGTAATTTTCATCATAGGTACACGTCAACTATGACAGACAAAATGAGGATTTTTTTTTCCAGAAAATCACATTGTAGGATTTTTAATGAATTTATTTGCAAATTATGGTGGAAAATAAGTATTTGGTCAATAACAAAAGTTTCTCAATACTTTGTTATATACCCTTTGTTGGCAATGACACAGGTCAAACGTTTTCTGTAAGTCTTCACAAGGTTTTCACACACTGTTGCTGGTATTTTGGCCCATTCCTCCATGCAGATCTCCTCTAGAGCAGTGATGTTTTGGGGCTGTCGCTGGGAAACACGGACTTTCAACTCCCTCCAAAGATTTTCTATGGGGTTGAGATCTGGAGACTGGCTAGGCCACTCCAGGACCTTGAAATGCTTCTTACGAAGCCACTCCTTCGTTGCCCGGGCGGTGTGTTTGGGATCATTGTCATGCTGAAAGACCCAGCCACGTTTCATCTTCAATGCCCTTGCTGATGGAAGGAGGTTTTCACTCAGAATCTCACGATACATGGCCCCATTCATTCGTTCCTTTACACGGATCAGTCGTCCTGGTCCCTTTGCAGAAAAACAGCCCCAAAGCATGATGTTTCCACCCCCATGCTTCACAGTAGGTATGGTGTTCTTTGGATGCAACTCAGCATTCTTTGTCCTCCAAACACGACGAGTTGAGTTTTTACCAAAAAGTTCTATTTTGGTTTCATCTGACCATATGACATTCTCCCAATCCTCTTCTGGATCATCCAAATGCACTCTAGCAAACTTCAGACGGGCCTGGACATGTACTGGCTTAAGCAGGGGGACACGTCTGGCACTGCAGGATTTGAGTCCCTGGCGGCGTAGTGTGTTACTGATGGTAGGCTTTGTTACTTTGGTCCCAGCTCTCTGCAGGTCATTCACTAGGTCCCCCTGTGTGGTTCTGGGATTTTTGCTCACCGTTCTTGTGATCATTTTGACCCCACGGGGTGAGATCTTACGCGTAGCCCCAGATCGAGGGAGATTATCAGTGGTCTTGTATGTCTTCCATTTCCTAATAATTGCTCCCACAGTTGATTTCTTCAAACCAAGCTGCTTACCTATTGCAGATTCAGTCTTCCCAGCCTGGTGCAGGTCTACAATTTTGTTTCTGGTGTCCTTTGACAGCTCTTTGGTCTTGGCCATAGTGGAGTTTGGAGTGTGACTGTTTGAGGTTGTGGACAGGTGTCTTTTATACTGATAACAAGTTCAAACAGGTGCCATTAATACAGGTAACGAGTGGAGGACAGAGGAGCCTCTTAAAGAAGAAGTTACAGGTCTGTGAGAGCCAGAAATCTTGCTTGTTTGTAGGTGACCAAATACTTATTTTCCACCATAATTTGCAAATAATTCATTAAAAATCCAACAATGTGATTTTCTGGATTTTTTTCCCTCAATTTGTCTGTCATAGTTGACGTGTACCTATGATGAAAATTACAGGCCTCTCTCATCTTTTTAAGTGGGAGAACTTGCACAATTGGTGGCTGACTAAATACTTTTTTCCCCCACTGTACATCAAGTCATGTGACAAACGTGTGTCAACATCCCTTATAAAACATGTGCAAGTGCAAAATTACTTTGATTCAATAATCAAGCGACGTCAGCACAATGTAGAGTTGAAAGAGAGAGAGAGAAACAATGGACTCCGTACGTCAACTAGTTCAGACACACAACACCTTTCTAACTTTGCTGACTAGTAAAAGGTGTAGTGGTGAATTTACATGATTTGCCTGGTTACAAATTGTGAATAATATGTGAAAGACGTCTAACACCTCAGGGCTCAGACAACTGATTGAGGCTTAGCTAACACAGCTCTGACCCTCTGGCTCCCAAGGGCAAAGGTTTATGCAGGACTGTTGAGACACGCTTACCACTGTGGCTCACAGTAATTAGGTCACAAAACAATGAGGCCATTCACCTCACTGAGTGAGTAGCAATTTAAGATGATTACATCTAAATCTACAAATCTCAAATGGCTGCTGTTATCTAATCAACCCGTTAAATCATTGGCATTAATCATTCTAGGACCACAATAAGCAGAGAATAATCTTATTTACCTGGTGAAACAGCTCCATGTCAATTTCAGCCTCTGCCTTCCAAGACTTCTCATCTTAGGGGGAAAAATTATCGGTTTCATTAGTATGGTAGGTAAAGGAATAAATATAAAATGGCCCAAGTTTACATTATTCATATAAAGTAAGGACATGGATTTCAGACAATACTTGGTTGTGTAGGCCTACCTGATACATTTTCCTGAAATATGACTTTGGTGTCCTTGAGGAAGTTCTTCCCAATAATGAAGACCTCCTCACCTCCCCTCACCGAGCAACTGTGGAGGGACTTCTTCAGAATCTCAGGCACCCCTGCAGGCTGGGCTGTAGACAAGACACAAACAGACTGTCAGGCTTCTTTAACTAGTATTCTGTCACGGGTACAGAACTGCTGGCCTTCTCAGGAGGAACCATGGGATGCCAACAGAAAAGCTTAAACCAATTGCTCAAGAGTACCTTGTGATTTCTTGGAAGGCACACATGTAATCTTGGGGAAATAGTAATTGTGCTTTAATTGCTTTGCCAGGAAAAATGTGAGCTGAGCTGGCATTAATAAAATAGTGTGTATGTGCATGTGCTTGAGATGTGTGTATGTGCATGTGCTTGAGATGTGTGTATGTGCATGTGCAATTTTTTTGTATATGATCATTATCCAGACAGTAAAATGACTGTACTATAGGTAAAGTTGACACTATCTTTGCAGTCCCCCTTTCTCACAGGCAAATAGAAATCCCCAAGTTTCTATAAACAACAAGCTCAGACTCCTCCTACTCCTCCGCCCTCCCCAGTTTTCACAGGCCTTCCTCACTCTCACCACCCCGCTCCACAGCACAACACACACAGACAGACAGACGCCATTGGAGATTTATATTTTATATTTTCTGGCCAGATTTTCCCTTGGTCGGATTGCACTCTGACATTGTAAACAATAGAAGTCCACACCTCTTTCTTCCCCCTTTCTTTCTCTCCCTAATTTCTTTGGAGAAGTTCTGCTTCTAAAACCACCGACAAATAGAATTTCTTATACCCCAGAGCAGTCTTTCCTATTTTTGCCACTCACAGCCACACCCTATGCCCACAACAGGAGGAACACATGACGCTGAAGAGAGTCTATATACATGGTCTCTGAACATTTACTTAAATTAGAAAACGATCTGCTAAGTATACATAACGCATTAGAAATGGAACTTCTAGACTGAATCATCTCTTCAGAGTGTTCAAGTCTTCAGCTTAGAACTTAAAAACAAGATGAAAACAATAAACTAACCTATATTACAAATGGCTCATAAGGCTATCCAGTCCAATTTTGACAGTAACGGCTCCCAATGGAGACTTCATTATTGACATCCTTGTCCTGACCCAAGCTCCTTTTCACTTTCCTCCTGTCCACCCAACCCCCTGAAGGAACTTTTTCCTCCCTCCCCCTAATCCCCTGGTGACGTGCGTCAGCTCTGAGCTCCGACAGCGTTCCTGAGAGAACTCCGGTAAGCAGATGCTATGAATAACCTAAAGCCACTCACTGCACAGGATGGGGGACGACGGTGTCTGTAATGTGAGCACCGAGCCGTCCGGCCTGGGGATGTTGACCCGAAACACAAGCCTGGCACGCGTGCTCTTCTTTTTGGAGCCGGCCACCCCGATACGAGCTTCCACATCAGCGTTACGCAGCTTCAGGATCCCCACGCAGTCCACCCTGCAGAGAGACACACACAGCACAGCTGTTAGACTGGCAGGCCGGCCTGCTGACCAAGGCCCCAGCGGCTGCTGCTGCAACAGCCCCCGACAGCCCCTAACACACTGAAACAGCCACTAACACACTCCCAATGGAGGATGACTAAGAGGAGCAGTCTCCATTATGTGTGATTTTACAGAATTGCAACAGCTATGGCAATAAGCAGATACATACGCAAGGGTCATGTTGTTGCTGGGGTCCAGGGACACTTCAATGACAGTGGTGCCCTCGGTGTCCACCTCCTTGCAGGCTGTGGTGTTGCGCCCCGTCACCCTGCAGGCCTGATAGAACCCATGTGGCTTCACACGCCCAGCATCATTACCCACAAACACCTGGAGCACCACTGCCTCATTCACACCCTCCAGCTGTGGACAAGAAGGAAACAAAGAACACTCAGATCAGAAAATAGCGCAGCTGCTCCAAAGTCAACTCTACCTATTTATGTAAGTTACTAGAGAATTTCGAGCGTTGAATGTATTGTGCAAGTGATAGTTTTCACAAGAGCCAAAAGGGTGCAGCTAAAATAATGTACAAAAGTGAATACGTGATAGATAGTGCCAGCTTTCTGCTTAGTAAGATGATAATGCCATATCTTATAGCATTCTATGATAATAGAACTGCAACTGCACAACTGCCTGTTTTGCCATTTACTTTGAGTAAAACATTTGAGGTATGCAATACATTGTGAATAGCATTGTTGATACAGAGATATGACAAAGAAATGCAAACAAAGTCACGATTTGGCGTTGTAATCACTTCAAGAGAATAATGATAGTTACCTCTTTTCTCGGTGGACAAGAACATCTGTTGTTTTTATGTAGGTTATATAATATTTAGCAGGCACCAAAGCGACTTACAGTCATGCATGCATACATTTTACGTACCGGTGGTCCCGGGAATTGAACCCACTATCCTGGCGTTGCAAGCGCCATGCTCTACCAACTGAGTGCTGCCTTACAAGGTGTGTTGTAACAGCTAGCTATAAAACCTTATTTCATAAAAAGAAAATACCCTGGGGTTGATACGTTGCATCACTTATACAATTTCTACATAGCCTGTGACAATCACTGAATCACTGACTTACGCATGTTAACCCAATGTAGAGGTGTTATGTAACAATGAGTATGGAGCAGGTTGATGGTGGTGTTTGGTGAAGGACAGATAAAGGCATACTTACAAAGGAGTAGAGTCAAAACAGTGAACAGTGTATGGGGCACTGACTGTCCACAAAAAGCCCTAGATGCCCCAGCCCAGCACCCCTGTTCTTGTTGTTGGTTTAAGGCATACCTTTATGGTGGGGAAGCCCTGCTGAGTGCGGTCCTTCACTGACCCCCTGCTGCCCTCAGTCAGGTAGCGGGCTCTGTGCTGGGTCTCAGGCTGGACCAGGATCTTCAGCTCTTTGCCCTCACTCTTCTGAGGGAACTGGCTCGCTAGGGTCCCCCCTTTCTGATGGGTTGTCTGGGGGCCATCTGCCGAACTGCAAGACAGACTGGTTAGCTACAGTGTCAGCCCAACAGCTCCTAAACAACCTACATTGAAACAAGCAACACTACCATTGACTACAATACGCTTGCTTATATATAATGCAGGGGACTGTTTCCTTTCACTCATTCACAGCACTGTCCCCTGCTAACCCTAACCCTGCCTGTGTCCTTGTAATCATTGGGGACTGAGGGTGCACAACTTGGCGTTGGGTGGCACTGGCAGCAACCCTCACCCCCCACTCCTACTCTCCTCCTTGTGTTCATTTATGTAAGGGGAGGAAAGAGCAGCTCCACTGCTGGCACCAAACGTCCTCTCGGTAGAAGAGAACTTGACAGGACTTGGAGACCGTCCACTTACTATCAAAGTTCCAGCCAAGCTGTGACCCCACCAGCAAATATCTGTGTGTGTGTGTGTGTGTGTGTGTGTGTGTGTGTATGGTGGAGCATAGGGGGTATTTGGAACTAGAGAGCAGCAGGAGACTAGTGAGGGATCCCCAAATAGTTGCCATGGTTTCCCAGTGACACTAGCGAGCAATGCAGAGTTTGGAGGCCCACTACCAAGCAGAGTCCATCAGAACCTCTTAGGGGATCCAGACTTATCGGTTTATTTAATCTGCTCTGCTTTCTCAACGCTTTTCAAAAGAGGCTCAGTGTGATTCACCATGGCTGACCATTGTTTGTGCTGTGGTATCCTGCCCCTCCCTAGCCTCTGATCTGCCCGCTCTTCTTCAAGCACAGAGGAAAACGTTCAGCCAGTGGTTTGGTACGATTTCTGCTTGTTGTATAGTGGTTTTACACCTCTTAACAATGGGAATAAGTATGGAGCTAATTTAGATCAACTTCTTCAAAAATCAGGCAAGGTATAAAATGAACAGTTCTGTTGAGATGTCCATTCAATTGTAATTGTTAATGGCCACTGCCAATTTCAATGGTATAAGTCTATCAGTGTTTTTCTATGAATTAATCACTTTCTCTGACATGTAACTTGTCTTAAATGTTCAAGATTCAAACTGAGAACTGAAACTTAACCACAACTTCCATAGAGCTATATCAGAGATGTAAAAGAAAAGGAAAGTTAACTCTGCAGACCAAAAGGAAGTAAACAGTAGGTTAGATAGGTTTCCACATGGGCTAATTTCACTGTAAAAGAGATCCAGGGGCACCCACCTTCCTTTGGTACAGGCCTTGCTGTCTGAGCCCAGCTGCGAGAGCACAAAGTGCGGCCCTTTGGCACTGTCTGCATCAAACACGTCCATGCTGGCCTCCTCGGTCGAGGCAGGCTTGGGGCCGGGTCGCTGGCGGGGGGTGCGCTTGCGGGACTTCCGGGGCACCTCTGTGTTGTCGTTGTAGGAGCTGGAGCTGACGATGCTGAAGTTGGAGGCGGAGTCATCCATCCAGATGCTGTTGCTCTGCTCTGAGTCCTGGAGCTGATCCTCCTGGCAGGACATGCAGCTGTCGTCAAACAGGTCCTCGGGCGGAGGCGAGATGTTCAGCACCGTCCGCCGTTTGGAGGGGGTCATCTGGTGGTGCTGCTGGGCCTCCTGGGATGCCCCCCCTCTTCCTCCTCCTCCTCCTCCTCCTCCTAGGGATCCGGCCCCTCCTCCTTTCTCGCCGCCAGCCCTGCCGCCACCAGCACTCCCACTGTTGCCAGTCCCGCCCTCAGCGCCAAGCATCTCTGCCACCACTCTGCTACTTACACCTTCGTCTGGAGCGGCGATGCCGGTGTGAGCAGAGGTCTGGTCGGTGGCTGAAGTAGTGGAGTGCATGGTGGAGCTGGAAGAGGTGGGAAAAGCACTGCGAGGGCCTCCCATGGTCATAGAAGAGGAGACGGTGGTGGCATCTACAGTGCATACAATTGGACAGTAAATAAAGGCATCTCAACCAGCATTGGCTAGCAGTCCCATTCAAGCAGCGAAATTTGTGCATGATTGTTTTTAGTTTTTTTAGTTTTTGATTTTCTTTGGTCATCCAATTATAATTTTCACTTTTCTTTTATTGCATCATGATGTGTAAGTGTGTCTATGTGGGAGTATGAGTGTGTGTAGGTGAGTATGTTTGTACATGTGTGTTCTGACCCAAAAATGGGGGAAAGGGTCATATTATAGGATATGATATAAATGGAAAGTCATGAATCTTCTGACATGAATATCTAATTATCTGAAATTGATACTCAGTTTCTAATTCAATCTGCAAAAAATAGTACCCCAGAACGTGAAGTAATCCAATTCTTTAGCCATCTTTCAGTGACACTGGGACTTGATTTTCAATAGCATTTACCATGAACAGAAATTAACTGGGAAATCTACATGAAGAGGGATGTTCAAATGAAATTAAGATTATCTGGTGTGTAAGATGATGCGTGCCAATTGGAGCTTTTTTTCATACAGGTTCAAACAATTTAGTTGGGACTGAGCAATTAACTGGGAAATCTACATGAAGAGGGATGTTCAAATGAAATTAAGATTATCTGGTGTGTAAGATGATGCGTGCCAATTGGAGCTTTTTTTCATACAGGTTCAAACAATTTAGTTGGGACTGAGCGTAGCCACAGAGACAAGATAAACAAGCTTCTGACCTATGAAGCAGAGAACTGCAGACCATTTTATATGCAGACACTCCCTGCTTCAGAGGGAACTTCCTGGAATAAAAACGAGACAGCGAATGAGCAATAAGAGCTGAACATTCAAATGTAATAAAAACCTATGTTGAACAAAAAGTATGTGAAAATGGAACCGTCATTCAAGGGTCTCATTCTATTCCTGCTCAATATGTTTTTCTGAAAGTCCTCCTAAGACACTTTAGGAAACCTTAGCCAGGGTTGAAAATAGCAGCAAATGTTGAGTACATTTCAAAAGCATTCCTAGTTATCAGGTCTTCAATGCAGGGTACAGTACAGTGCAGCTTCAAGCAGGTGAAATGGCAGATGCTACATGGTAGATTGTTTGCACAGAAGTGGAAGATGACAAACTGGATTGTTTGGCTACTGTAGGGCTTGTCCCTGGCATAAAAGGGCAACAAAAACATGGAGTTGGAGAAAGCTTATCACACCCCATGGTTAAGAAATAAAGCATTACAAACAAGCAATACCTGACTGTCTACTAGAGATATGATGGAAGAAGTGGAAGCCTTGGTAGCCTAAGGGCCTAGCACTAGGCTAAGGTCTGAGCATGGAGGTGAAAACCTGAAGACTGTTGCAGGAGAAGGGAGAGGAGTGAGAGGACAGGCAGACAAGCTATCCTAATTTGTAAAACCTATCTCGATACGCTGAATTTAAAAACAATCAAAAATAAAAAAGAGGTGCAACTAGGCTACACTTCATTCAAAACTGTAGTTACAGTCCTTATGACTGAAAAATAAGATAGCTTTTTGATGGTAATCGGAAGAATGCCAGATATCTATGACTCATTACAATCCAATGTGGTGCATTGTCTATGAGGAAATTCCAGTCACTTTACATTCCACCCACAAGCCCTCTCACTTTTCCTGTTCCAAATGCACTCATATAGGAACCATGCCAGAGTGCAACAATGTGGAGCACAATTTTGCTTTAATAGGTTTATATTTTTCTCAAATTATTTTTTATGGCTAAATTGATTGAACTTATTGAAGAGTAGCCATGATAAACAGAAGAAATGGATAAAGCCATACATCTATTTATGCTCTGGTGAACAAGAATGCTTTCAAAACATACAGCACATTGCTTCTGTTTGCGGAAATCCATACAATCTAGCAAACAGACAAAAAACTTTCACCTGATTGCAGATGGTAGGGAGCAGCTATTTTACCCAATAGATTATAGATTACATTTTTTATTCAAGAGACAGGAATAGTTTTAGTTCAATTGGGATCCAGCAAGACAGCAATTTGTTCCCCATGGCAGCTGTAAGCTTCCTCCCACAGACCCCACATGCAGATCCTAGGAGGCAAAAGAACTAGTTCCATTTTCACAACCATGTAATATCAAATGAAAATCAGTTTAAAAACAAGAATAAACATAACAGTAGTGGTTTTGAAATGCTGAAGGATTAGTTCATTACAAAATTATGTCAAGTAGAAAATCTAAATATGATGCTTTCCTTTGAAACATTTCATGATGTGCAGTTCATGCAGATTTTTAGAAGAGCAACAAACATGAGAAACATATAGGCCCTACTAAGATTGGAACCACAGTGAATGATTTGCAGCCACTTTGAGCGCCCTCTCACCACACTTAAAAACACTGGAGAAACAAAGGCCTCAAAGAAACCCAGTCCAGTAAACCCCTCCAGCTTTGTAAAGGTTCACAGCTCTTCCTCTGCTCCCTCCTGACTTATTTATATGGCCTAAAAGCTTTCTGTAGACTACTGTACATTGGCAAATATGCCTGAGTAAATCGTCCCATCCGTGAGTTGTGTACACATTTCAAACAACTGCCCTTTTATGTCATGCTATCTCTCCAGAGGAAGGAGGTAACCTATTTTTTTCTAATCTAAAAACAAGTTGCCCTGCTTTGAGTGTAATGAAACTAAAGACGACCGTGTAATAAATGGCAGGACAGCAAACGCTGCGGGAGAGAATGAAATCCCTGTTTTAGGCCTGTGCTGTGGAGCAGTAGAGCTGTTGGATAGAATCTCCCTCTCTGTCTCTCCCACGCCACCATTAGCCTTCTAGTCTAAACACGCAAGGCTGATAGTTTGTTTAAAATGTAGCCAGGTAGGATGGAGGAGAGCACTGCTGCCTCTCTTTATCCAGGGTATAAATAATTTAAATCAGGATGTCTGATTTATCACAGGAGAAAGGCACCTGGCCACAGGAAGAGGCATTTATTACAGACACCTTTTAACCCCTGTTGTTTAGCCTCGTTAAAGCCTAATGTGTCTTTGGTCATCATCATGTCAAGTTAAGACTATTTCTGGACTAAAAAGCACTTTCAATGGAGATTCTTTTTAATCCAGGAGTAGGCTTAATCTGGGTCCAGGAAACTGGCCCTCATAAAGCATTGCCTGGTTTTAAACCTTTTGATCTTGACAAACTATTATACATGCAAACAGCACAGTACATCTGATAACCTTGAAATGCTGAACGCCAGGTGGTAATGAAGACATCCTGTTCAATAGGAGCCCATCCATTCTAAAAGAAAAAGACAGCTGGCCAATAAGACAGCTATAACCACCAAAATGGCTGACTTGAAGGGCAGAGATTCAGGATTCATTTCTTGTTAGAATTTTGAGTCATCACCTGCTCTGTTTGTGCATAATACCCTGGCTAACGAAATGCATTGCAATTCAAGATTCAAAGTGAGATGGAGGTCAAAAGGTTGAAGGCTTCATGTATAATTACTCTGAGGAGGTTTGGTACAGAGACATCCAGAGGAACAAAGTACAGATTGAAGCTAGAGAACTTCACACTTAAAATGGTGTATATTATGAACAAATTATATACAGTGCCTTCAGAAAGTATTCACACCGGTTGATTTTTCCCACAAATTGTTGTGTTATAGCCTGAATTTAACATGGATTAAATTGAGATTTGTCACTGGCCTACACACGATACCCCATAACGTCAAAGTGGAATGATGTTTTTCTAAATGTTTACAAAAATGAAAAGCTTGAGTCAATAAATCATGCCTTGAGTCGATAAGTATTCAACCTCTTTGTTATGGCAAGCATAAATAAGTTCAGAAGTAAACATTTACTTAAGTCACATAGTAAGTTGCATGGACTCACTCTGTGTGCAATAACAGTGTTTAACATAATTTCTGAATGACTACCTCATATCTGTGCCCCACACATACAATTATCTGTAAGGTCCCTCAGTTGAGCAGTGAATTTCAAACACAGATTTAACCACAAAGACCAGGGAGGTTTTCCAATGCCTTGCAAAGAAGGACACCTATTGGTAGATTGGTAAAAATTAAAAAAGCAGACATTAAATATCCCTTTGAGCATGGTGAAGTTATTAATTACACTTTCGATGGTGTATCAATACACCCAGGCACTACAAAGTTGCAGGTGTCTTCCTAACTCAGTTGCCAGAGAGTAAGGAAACTGCTAAGGAATTTCGCCATGAGGCCAATGGTGACATTAAAACAGTTACAGAGTTTAATGGCTGTGATAGGAGAAAACTGAGGATGATCAACAACATTATAGGTATGCCACAATACTAATCAAATTGACAGAGAACAGAAGGAAGCCTGTACAGAATACACATATTCCAAAACATGCATCCTGTTTGCAACAAGGCACTAAAGTAATACTGCAAAGAAATGTGTCAAAGCAATTAACTTTTTGTCCTGAATACAAAGTGTTATGTTTGGGCCAAATCCAATACAACACATTACTGAGTACCACGCTCCATATTTTCAAGCATAGTGGTGGCTGCATCATGTTATGGGTATGCTTGTAATCATTAAGGACTGGGGGGGTTTTCAGGATAAAAAAGAAATGGAATGGAGCCAAGTACAGGCAAAATCCTAGAGGAAATCCTGGTTCAGTCTGCTTTCCACCAGAAACTGGGAGATTAATTCACCTTTCAGCAGGACAATAACCTAAAACACAAAGCCAAATCTACACTGGAGTTGCTTGACAAGAAGACAGTGAATGTTCCCAAGTGGCCGAGTTTTTACTTAAATATATTTGAAAATCTATGGCAAGACTTGAAAATGATTGTCTTGCAATGATCAACAACCAATTTGACAGTACTTACATTTTAATTTTTAAATACAATTATATAAAATAATTTATAATCATAAAATATACAAAAATGGTGTGGAAAGCTCTTAGAGACTTACCCAGAAAGACCCACAGCTGTAATCGCTGCCAAATGTGCTTCTACAAAG